AATATTGATCAGGGATTCGGTCTTCGAACCACGAATGTATAATGGTACGCCACTTTGCCTACACAACCTCTGCCCAGTAAACGGAAAATAGCTCAGAAAACATTACAAATCCTTGATCGGAATTATCGTTGACTGTTTTTTTTTGTTTTTTTTTTGGTTGAAGCATGTTAGAATTAAGCAGACTGAATGGAATTGCAAATTGAGCATACGCTAATGTTCAACAATGGAAAACTATCCAAAAAGCCATTATGCAAAATTCATGCAGTTTAACAAGGAGCTCTTACGCAAATGGATATCAGCCGCTCGTTGAATCATCTTCAATATTCTTCCGATTTTCCATTTATTCACTCGCATTTCATTCCCACTATGCACATTACTACTGCTTTCGCACGTTTGACTTATGCCGTGCAGCCCTTTCGATATTTGTAAAAGAGAGCCAAACTGAATTCAAGCCAAATTGCACTAATCGTCACAGAATTCATTACAATCGTAAAAAGAGGAGGAGGAAGGCCTGTACAATCACTTGCGATGGTCAGCCAATCTACAGAATATACGTTCTTCCTCTCACACGAGTCTGGCACCAAATAACCGACCTCGGAGAGATGGAAGGCTTGGTTATCCTGAGCGAGTGTCGACTCGAATTCGATCCTCAAATCGTACAAGCACGAGCAGTTTACATTTTCAATTATCGGTACATCGAGATCTAACTGCGTTGTTAACTCGAGTCATGTGCTGAAAAAGGAAGGTGGCAGACCTCAATAATTAAATATTCCAATTGATGTGCCATTTAAAAGTACTTATCATTCTGCCACCAATTCCACCAGAACGACTGCCATGATCGCGCATGTAGTACATATGCGTGGCGTAATGTTGGATGGAGCTGATGAACATACATTAGATGAACTTTACTGCCTTTTTTGAAGCAAAGTCTCTCCGGACATCGGAACTTCTCTCAAGTGACCGTCTGATTGAATTCTTCAGACACGGAGAGTCTTGTATCTATTCTTTCATTTGGAGTCTTTACCGCTCTAAGATAGCAAAGCAAATGGATAAGATCCAAATCATCCTACTACGCTAATGTCTGTGAGTTTGCGTGTGTGCATGTTTGAGTGCTTGTAAGTGAGTGAGTGTGTCCGTTTGTTGTTATTTTGTTGCTGTACTTATTTTGTGTTGAAAAATCGGCTGAATTTTTCTCAAAATTTTTCGAACACCCTT